CCCCCCCCCCCCCCCCCCATAAAAAAAAAAAAAAAACTTCTCTCTAAATGTCTTTGTATCTTATAGTCTCACACTGTCACATGATTTCTCTGCGATTTCTATGCAAAACTAGTATTCAAAATAATAGGAATTAGACTTAGCATGATTCCATATAGAAAATTTTAATCAGGTTAATTTGTTTGGACGGATAAAAATATAAAAAATATACTGCCACATAGAGGTGGTAATCGATTTGAGCTATTCAGACTTGAGTTAGACTCAGCTCGTTTTGAAATGACTACACAAATCGCAATATTAGTTTGCCAATGCTAGATAAACAAATCGGTCATGGTTATACATGTTGTGTTGCACAATTACAGAATAGCTATGAAAAAAATAAATTCTTTTTATTGCGATGAGAATATTTGTTCCAATTTACGTGTATGTCAATTAATTTTTTTTTTTGGTTTGGGAAATGATAGATCATTCATGCTGAAACTAAAAAAATTATGAGGAATAAATTATCTCTCATCTTTTTTTTCTTTTTAAAAGGGATGGAAGCAAAGAAAAGCGTTCAACGACCACGTCGATATGTCTTCATTAGTAGGATCATGAGGACCTTGATTGCGTCCATTACTCTTTTCTAAACTAATATAACGGTCAACTACCGAGCCATAATATGAACTTCAAGATTTGAATCTTTGACCTCAATGTAAGAAGTTCGACTACTACTCCGCTGCACGACCTCACTCGGTGGTAATTATCTCTCATTTGATTTTAAAAGAATTGTTAAATTTTGAACTTACTAAGAGCAACTCTAAAGAGAGTTACTATTTTGGAGTGTCAAATCACTCATTTGTAATGTTGAATAGTGCCTTGACATCTATGAATTATAAATCTACTCTAATGACAGGTGCTAAAATGATGTGTCATTTTTATATTTTCATTCATTAGTCTATATGAATTATTGAACTTATATTCATAGTTAAATCATTTAACAATTTAATGGATCTATATTCATCAACTCATTGTAACTTCCCTTTCTCTCTCCAGAGTTACTAAAATTGTCGCCCAAAAACCTTGATACCATTTTTCCTTTGACGGCACTCTCTTGAAATGGAGAATTTTGAATTTAGAGTAACAGGAAGAGTTACCACCCTGATGCCACTCCTCTTGAAATGGCTCTGAGTCCCTAAGTTTTTATATTTTGGTCAAAGAGTCCCTGGGTTACGATTCCTTTTTGTTTCTCCGGAGTTAATATAATTATCAATTTAGTCATCTGGACCATCATTAGAGTTGATAACGTACAAAAACCTTCGGATTCCAGTTTGTTGGGTACAGATTGCTCTCTCTCTCTCTCTCTCTCTCTCTCTCTGACCAGCAAATAAAGGAGTCACAAACTGCAATCACCAAAACCTTCCCACAAACCAAAACCTTATGAAAGCTTCTTCATTTTCTGTATCTTCTCATCTTCATTGATACCCAGATAGAAATCCAAGCACAGTTTCGTACAAATCCAGTTATCGTGCATGATGGGTTACCTATCATGTAAAGCTGAATCATCCATTTTGACCTCAAATTCTCAAACCCCAACATCTTCCAAGAAAACCCATTCTAATCAAGAAACTGAAAAACCCATCAAAGTCCAAGAATTCCAGTACAGTGATCTTGAAGCAGCCACCAATGGTTTCTCTGATCAAAAACTCCTAGGCAGAGGAAGTCATGGGTTAGTCTACAAAGGCGTCCTCCGCAGCGGCCGTCTTGTGGCCGTGAAAAAATCATCCCGAAACACCTACAAAACTTCGAGATTTTCCACATCTGAAAACCCAAATGAAGTTGAGAACGAGATTGATATACTGTCCAAATTACACAGCCCCAGGTTAGTTAATCTTGTGGGATTCACCAATGACCCACATGAACGCCTTTTGGTGGTGGAGTTCATGAGCAATGGGACTCTCTATGATTTTCTTCATTCCTCTCCTAGACCCCCCAATTGGGGTCGGAGAATTAAATTAGCTCTTCAAACAGCCAAAGGAATTGATACCCTTCATTCCTTAGTCCCACCAGTGATTCATAGGGATATAAAGTCTGCAAATGTGTTGATAGATCGTGATTATAACGCCCGGTTGGGCGATTTTGGGTTGGCACTGAGGTGCCATGTTGATGATTATAGGCTGAGGTCTACCCCACCTGCAGGTACAATGGGGTACCTTGATCCGGGGTACGTCACCCCGGATAATTTGAGTACCAAAACTGATGTGTTCAGTTTTGGTATATTGTTGTTGGAGATCATTAGTGGGAGGAAAGCCATTGATGTTGGGTTTTCGCCACCTTCAATTGTGGATTGGGCGATTCCTTTGATAAGGAGAGGGAAGCTTTTGACTATTTATGATCCGAGGATTGTGCCTCCTAAGGATCCTTTGGTGAGGAAGCAATTGGCTGTGATTGCGGCCAAGTGTGTGAGGTCTTGTAAGGAGAGGAGGCCGACAATGAAGGAGGTGGTTGAGAGTCTTAGTGTGTTGAGTAAATTGGTTCCTCTTCATTCTTGGAATGGATTTAGTAATCCTTGCTTGATGGTTGAGACTGTTGGCAGGCCTGTAGAATCGAAGAATACCCAATTGAATTTGACGTCAAAGGTTGGTGAAGAAGGGAACTTGGATGTAGTGGATGTCAAATTTTCTGTTCCATTGAGGAATTCAAGGAGAGTGTACTCTGATTTGGGTTTCAGGAATAATCTGATGGATCTCATGGCTGGCAGTGATTTGGAGTTTCAGTTGAGGGGAGAGGCTGACAGTGTTGAGCCTAAATCAAAATCACAAAATGGAGGTTCTAGGTTGAAAATCGAAAGTGGTAGACTTGTTAGCAGGAGAAGCAACCAGTCTCTGTCTCGTGGCAATGGCAAAGGCAGTGTCTCCCACTTGAGGCAAAACCAGTCAGTTGGTGAGAATTCAGATAATTTTTCTAGCAGAGAAAATAATCAATAGAATTCTGGTGCTCAAGCTGTGATGATTGTAGGTAGGGCATTGTGAAACTGTGCTGGAGAACCATTTGAAGTCTCCTGTTGATCAAGTTTGTAAGCTTCTATAGTTTTCCAACCACATTGATGTAGATTATTTGTGGGTTTCAGTTAATTTATTTTTCATTGTTCTTGGAAGTGTTGATTTATTTGCTGAATCAGGCATGTAAGTAGCTTAATGGCATACGTTGATGATGTGCCTCCAAGACTTGTTATTCCATTCCTCTGTATTTCAATAACAAAGTCGAAGGAATTAACACGAATGCTATTTAATTAGCTTATGCGTTTTTAGTCCTTTTCTTTTATTGTTCTCTATATAGATATGATTAAGCTATGAATAGAATCCCAGCACAGTTTCATAAAGAGATATCATGCTGAGGTTTGCTTTGAAACAAGAAAGAGAATTAGGTTGTGATAGGTAAGGTACAAAACCTAGCAGAAAAAAATACAGATTGTTTCAACTTCTTTACTAATAGGTAGGTAGTCCTTTTCCATTGAAGCTCTGATTTGGACTGATAGTTGAATGCTATTTTACACATATGAATCTCCCTGAATGTCTCATGGCTTTTTGTAATTTTATGCTTCTATTTAGAACATGCAGTTCTCGATGAGAATTTTTACATGAAACTTGCTTCAAGTCATAATCCTGTATTTCAATTAGGAGCACAAAAGATTCTTCAGGATGGTTAACGCCAGCTTACAAAACGTTAGTGTTATTTATGTCCAGTATCTGTTTACTCTACAATTTGTAGTTGAATTCATGGATCCTTTCGCTCCAGGGAAATGCTTTTCCAATAGACAGTTGCAAGGCTTAGATTGGTTGTTCCGTTCAACTAGCTTGCCTCCTTTCTCATTTTCAATGTTAATATGACACTTGCAGGTTCTTTAAGAAGGGGATTTGTATGCTCGAAATTTTGGACTAACAAATGGTGTGTTGCAATGTTGGTTAAAACAACTTTTATTGATCGGATACTTAGCCTAACTTAACATGTTTCTTCTTGGTCATTCGATTTTTTTGTACTCTTATTGTTATTTCTCTCATAGTGTACAAGTTTTCGATGGACTGAGTAAATTCTCGCTGCACCAGGAATTTCTATTGCTTTATGATTTGCCATTTGGCATAAGGAGGCTAAGGTTGGTAAACAATTTTGGACAAGCACTGTCATGGTTCTTGGAGAAATCATCTGCCAGTATTAATCTCCATGTTTGTCTCATTTGATCTGTTGCTTAAATAGTTATGCATCCGAACAGATATACATTTGTATAAAGATTTTCAGGAATCTTTGGTTGTTGGTGTTTCTATTTTTTTTGCCAAGATGGTTAGTTTACTCATTTTCTCAAGCTCATGAACTGAGCTTGTCTGGTGAAGCCAGCCTTATCACTTCTTCTTTTCTTGTCCTATACAGAAGCACTCTGTTGTGCTATAGATCATTGGGAACATCTCATTTTTTTTGTGAGCTTTGATTGTCACATTGAAATGTACTTATTCTGTTTTGTTTCTGTCACACTATGATTTAAAACTCCAGCCTTTTAAAACCTAATTACCATGGGATGGCAATCGTATCGTGTCGGGCGTGTTCGTGTCATGTCATTTACAGATTTGTGACAATGATTAGTAAAATTCTAAGCTAACACATTTAACTAATTTTGACGTGTCGACTTTATTTTTGAATTTTTATGTTGTGTTCGCGTTGACTCATGTAACCTATAAATAAAAAATTTAAGGCTAAAATTTAAATTTAAGATTCCGTTATAACTTAATTGAGCTCATGTTCATATTTTTTTTGTAGACAAAAAATTAACTTAATAAACAAAATAATAAAAATGAGTAAAATTATCTTTTTTGGTAAAAGAATTATGTTAATACTTGATAAAAAAAATAATAAAATTTAACATTTTATTTTAATAATATTAGTAAATGTGTTAATCGTGTAAATTTCGTGTTGTTTGTATTTGACATTAAGTCAACTTATTTATTATTCGTATTAATGGGTTGTGTCATTTACGGATTCCTGTCAAGAAATGATTAATCTTAATTCGCTAATTTCGTGTTAATTCTAAGTCACATTTTCGTGTCGTGTCGAAAATAACCACAGCAGACATGTATAATTCCTTTTATAGAAAATTGAGACATTGTCATGTTTGTGAGATCTTTATAAGGCGTTGGACCTTAAAAAGGATGAACTCTATTTTAGTCCTTGTAACCACAATTAGGGTTGCTAATTTTCAAGATGACACCGTTCCATAATTCGAATGAGNTTAATCTTAATTCGCTAATTTCGTGTTAATTCTAAGTCACATTTTCGTGTCGTGTCGTGTCGAAAATTACCACAGCAGACATGTATAATTCCTTTTATAGAAAATTGAGACATTGTCATGTTTGTGAGATCTTTATAAGGTGTTGGACCTTAATTGAGACATTGTCATGTTTGTGAGATCTTTATAAGGTGTTGGACCTTAAAAAGGATGAACTCTATATAAAATCAACAAATTTGTGCCGAGACTATTTAGTTGTCTTAAAACGTGTGGTGAGTCGAGTAAAGTATCTACTCACTCGACCTTTAGGTATAATAAGTTGTGGAATCCAAGTCAAATTTAGTTAACATTTCGTGTTCAAGTTAACTATGAATATTTTAAGCTAACCACAATATTTTATTCATTGGTATTTCTAAAATACTATGTCATAGAAGTATATGTTCATCCCCAGATGAATCTCTGGATTAGTGTCAATTACATCATCATCCTACCATTCCTGCGCATTCTTCGCATACCAGTGGGATCTCCAAGAAAACTACTACACACACACACATCAAGAAATTTTAAGTAAATTGTGGCACTTTTCAACTTTATTTTTTTCAACCTACAAAGTTGAAAAACTTACTTATCAGATTAGGTAATTTTCTGAAAAGGGTAAATTGCACTTTATACTTTTAAAAATGATATTTTTCATATTGCACTATAATGTATTATTATAAGTGTTACAATGCGATCATTTCGTTAGTTTTTATTACTCATTTTGTCAACGTTAATAAGGTTATTTATGATAGAATGAGAAATGAAAACTAACAGAATAACCGTGATGAGAGTGTAATGTGAAAATTTTAATCTTTAAGAGAATAAAGTGAAAAATCTTAATTTTTTCGGGATGCAAAGTGAGGTTCTACCTTTTAAAACATGTAAATTTAACTCACCTTTTTTGATGCAAAAAGTGTGTTTTCAAAAATACATTTTTAAAGTCTTTTTGTTGAATGTCCCCCACCCCCCACCCCCCAAAAAAAAAGCCTTTTGGTGAAAGAATATGTATATATGTATTTTACTTTTGAACAAAAGGCTTTTTATTTTTGGGGGACATTCAACAAAAGACTTTAAAAGTGTATTTTTCAGACACACTTTTACATTCGGAAAGCGTGGATTAAGCCTATATTTTCTACCATAGTTTAGGTATACAAGTTGAAAGAAAGGTATTATAGTAAAAAAAAAGTTTAAAAATCAAGATAGTGTGAAGATTGATTCGAGACACGAAACAACTGTATTCACTTACAAATTTTTTGTAGTGAAACACCCCTCTTCAGTGTAGACAAATTTTGTTCAAAAAAAAAAAATAAAGATTAGACAAATTGAAGTTCAATTATCAAGAGAGTGAGAACCTGACCCACAGATGTTTGAAGAAAGTCCCAAAAGAAAAAAGTTAGGAGTGCAGAGAAATGGTGTCTCTAGCATTCATCATTGAGTGAGAAAATCTGTATTCCTATTTGCTTATATCAAGGCTTTACAGCTCACAGATTTCCATTTGCATGTGCTTCTCCTTCTAAAAATGCTGAGAAGTCATTCCTCACAGTAAAGTGTGTGTGTGTGTGTGATATAGATTTATCATATACAAATGTTACTGTACTTAAAGGCAGGCATTGGATAACACAAATAAATCGAATATCAGTTGTGCAGTATAAATATATGAAATAACAATTTATTTTTTCTTTCTTTTCTATAATCACAATTCAAAAGTAGTTCTGTCCCACTATTTTTAAAAAAAAAAAAAAACATTGGGAGAGAGAGAAAAAAAAATATCAAAGACTTTATGTAGCCTTGATTAGCGTGAAAAATGTATGGGATGAGTGAAATTTTAAACTGTGGGAGGAATCTATCTTTGATTAACATGAAAATGTATGAGCTGATTTGGGGGAAAAAAAATGTTGCTGATGATTTTGAATTATTGGATTGAATAAATCGCAATCACCCTTGTACTACTAAGTTGGAGACTTTAAAATGGATCATAGTTTATTATGTAGATGGATTCGTGTTGTGTAGAATCATAAAATTTTGATAAATTGGATAATCCCAACACAACATATTAACTAGTTGTATCAATATTTATAATTCTAACCTAATTTGTTTATTACTTGGGTGATAAGATACAATATTTGTAACTATTTATTTTATATGTCGGACTAGATTAGACGTGTTGAACGGGTTTGTACAGAGCATATTATTAGACGAAAGTAAAAAAAAATAAAAAATCAATATCCAATAAGTCGAGTTAAAAAAGTCATACAAGTTAAAAAAGTTGTACAAGTTAAAAATGTATTGTAGTCGTATTCTATCACTAGTTATATCTCTACTCGTGTCAAACACATATCTAACGAGTTGATGTTAAAATTCCAAATGTGTCAAATTTAAATCAAATCATATTAAAAATTGTCAATGTGAATAGTTTAATGATTTTACAGGTAGAATAAGTGCAACTTTCCTTTAAGGGTGTGAGAAGGGGCACCATCATATGAAAGGGGAAGAATATGTCATGGGTTCCACCAAGATTGTGAAATGTCAAAAACACATTCCTTTCAAACACTCTTNACTTTCCTTTAAGGGTGTGAAAAGGGGCACCATCATATGAAAGGGGAAGAATATGTCATGGGTTCCACCAAGATTGTGAAATGTCAAAAACACATTCCTTTCAAACACTCTTTTTTTTTTTTTTTTTTGTGGTTTTATATTAATGGCTGATCTTGTTGGATCATCTCAATCTTCTGTTGGAGTTTGTCAAGTCTCTTCAATAATTTAAAAATGCACCATGAGGTGTTGTGATTGGTTGGCTCACCTCATTCTCATCTTTAGACATTGGTTGGTGGAATAGATATTAGATAGGATCATTTCAACCACAACATCACAAAGGACAAGACCATTCTGGCTGCTTCTCCAAAAACCCTATTGCCTCATCCAAAGAGGAAAAAAAGATATTTAAATCATTTATTGTGTGACTATTTTTCCATCTATGAATATTCAGAATTAATTTATTAATTAAACAGCAAGTTTCAATCAAAATTGGGGCCCAAGGTGCATCTAACAACATTGGTAACAAATTTAGTTAATAAATTAAATCCAAGTCAAATTTAGTTAACAAATTAAATTCAAGTAGAATCGCTATTTTTTCATTGAGTGGACCAAAATTTGGCATCAAATAAATGAATTGGGTTCAAACTGAAAGATTTATAGACAAATAAGTTTAGGGTAGCGACACTTAACTTTTCGGTATCAAACCCAAAAATGATTCTCGGTCTTTTGCTTTGAGTTAAGTATAACAATTGATCGTAGAAATAGTAAAATAGAGTGAAATAATAAAATATAAAGCTTTAAATTGTCACTATTTGATTGGCCAAAAAGAAAATTGGTATTAAAAAATAAANTAACAATTGATCGTAGAAATAGTAAAATAGAGTGAAATAATAAAATATAAAGCTTTACATTGTCACTATTTGATTGGCCAAAAAGAAAATTGGTATTAAAAAATAAATTTTCGGTCCTATAGTCTAATTCGTGTGTAGACTATGAACGAGTAACCAAAGGTGAACTTAGTTTTCCACTTTTGATTTTCTCAAATAAGAGGCTAAGACTTATTCTGTAACTCTTAATGCTTTATTATGCTCTTCATTTGGGTTTCTCTTTGATTTCTCAATGAATATTTTTTCATCAATATAATATTGCACATAGTCTTTTTACATAAAGAATAACAACAGTGCAAAACATTTAGATTCGACGACTTATATTATGACTCAAATTTTAATATTTTAATCACAATAACTCAAACNTTTATTATGCTCTTCATTTGGGTTTCTCTTTGATTTCTCAATGAATATTTTTTCATCTATATAATATTGCACATAGTCTTGTTCACATAAAGAATAACAACAGTGCAAAATATTTAGATTCGACGACTTATATTATGACTCAAATTTTAATATTTTAATCACAATAACTCAAACCATGTATTTAAAAAACGTGTTTTGCCAAGAAACACCCTAGTTTGCTTATGTTTGGATTTTTTTTGTTAATAAAAAAAATTATATATTTTTTGGGAGGAGAGGGGATTTGAACCCTTTTGAACTTCAAAAAAATAAAACTTTTACAAGGTAAGGAGTACAATTAAACCAAAAGTCTATTGATATTATGTTTGGATGTTTGCTCGTTAAAAGAAGAATACGAAATTAAAATTATTGGNAAATTATATATTTTTTGGGAGGAGAGGGGATTTGAACCCTTTTGAACTTCAAAAAAACAAAACTTCTATAAGGTAAGGAGTACAATTAAACCAAAAGTCTATTGATATTATGTTTAGATGTTTGCTCGTTAAAAAAAGAATACGAAATTAAAATTATTGATCAAAAAGTACATAACTCATATTATGAGGTTATTAACTCCCTATTTTTAGCACCTTGTCTAGGTAACTCATATGATGAGGTTATTAACTCCCTATTTTTTGCACCTTGTCTAGGTATTCATACCTATCATTCATGGGCCCGAGCCATGCCCAACTTAAGGACAAGTATCTCCAAAAAAAATAAGTCTTCTCCTAATAAAAGAAGACTACTTTTTCTCCACAATTCCTTGTATTAAAAAAAAATTAAAAAAAAATTTCGTTATTATTGAGTTTCTGGAGGATTAGATTTATAGATCTTTACACCTATATACAGAAATATTGTTTTTATAATTCGAACTTATGGTGTTCANCGCCGTCACTTTAACCTCTCCTATTCAACTTTCAGGCAGTTGATGGCCAGGGTGGTTTCGGCGGTATGGCTGGTAGAGCCATACACTAACCCTACCCCAAACCCTAACCTTGCTCTGATACCAACTTGAAATAATTGTGAGTAAAAGGAGATACTCAAATTAAGAGTAAAACCCCGTATATATAGGCAAAATATAAAAATCATAGTAAGGGTAAAAAAGGGAAAAGAAATCCTAAAGGAAAAAGAAATCCTAATAAACCTAGGAAAAGAAATCCTAATAAACCTAGACTATCTATACTCCAACAGACAAAAAGTACATAACTCATATTATGAGGTTATTAACTCCCTATTTTTAGCACCTTGTCTAGGTAACTCAAATGATGAGGTTATTAACTCCCTATTTTTTGCACCTTGTCTAGGTATTCATACCTATCATTCATGGGCCCGAGCCATGCCCAACTTAAGGACAAGTATCTCCAAAAAAAAATAAGTCTCCTCCTAATAAAAGAAGACTACTTTCTCTCCACAATTCCTTGTATTAAAAAAAAAATAAAAGAAAAATTCGTTATTATTGAGTTTCTAGAGGATTAGATTTATAGATCTTTACACCTATATATAGAGATATTGTTTTTGTAATTCGAACTTATGGTGTTCACATCACAATTTAGTAACATTTCATAAGTCACCTTTGATACATTTTGGACCAAAAGACAATATTTTAAATTTTTGTACTTTTTTTGAAAAAAAAATCACTGGTGAGTCTATAAATAAATAATGTGTTATAGTTTAAAAACATAATACAATTAAACAATTCTATACTTCTTACTATAATTGTTTTCTTGTTTTTTCTTTCTCTCAATTCTTATATATATATATATATATTTTTTTTTTTTTTCTATTCAATTTAGCATTCTACTTTCTGCAGAATTAGATTAGTAGAAGTTGTCTATTTGATTTCCGTAAAATATTTAGCTATTGTTTTTATGAGTATAATACGCGTACAAGTTTGAAGAATTTTATTGTATCTGGAAAATAGATTTGTGAAACTTCCGGTATACACTTTTTTAAACAATTGGTGGGGGCAAAAACTGTTTTCAGAAAAGTGATTTTAATGTAGTGCCGACCCCAATTTATCAAAACAAAGGGGACATGCCATCAAGTTCAGAGCTTTACAAGGGAAACATCACAAAATATTGTTACTCTGATTTCCTCATTTTTGCCAAAATTAGAAAAGCTTTTGAACGGGAACATTTAAAAGGCTCGCTATACACGTTTGGTTCTCAAACCCACATGATAAAAGTTTACATTTGCCCCCCCCCTCCCCACCAAAAAATATATATATATATTTCCTAGTGTATTAATACACTCTATACTTCTGAACAAGAAAAGAACTGTAGAGGTGGTATAGGTAGATATTGGAGAGACTGAAGTTAGGACTTGAATGTGTTATCTATTTCTTGGGCAAATTACACTTTTTTTTAATTCAACGGTCAGGAAAGTTTGAATCAATTTATCCGCACTTCGACTAATCTTCTCTTCAGTTTAATAACAGACAAGTCATTCACGCTGAGATTAGAATATTAATAAAAAATAAATCTCACTTATCATAACCCTAAAAAATTGTCAAAATTCAATCTCAGAACGTTTTAATTTACATTTTAATTTATAGTTCGTTTTCGTTACAATTTAAACTACCCAAAATTGCACTTGTCGAGGCAAGTGAACTTAGTTTGAAAACTGCTGAAAATAAAGTTATTGAAAAAGAGGCATAGACAACAGGTGTATCCCAGTTTCTGTAAGATTGATTGCGTGATTGCTAACAAGAAATTTTCTTACTATTTTCTGTCGACATTATGAATCCACACCGACCTGGACTCACAAATTGTATTGATTTCTTCTATGCACATTGATAAATCAGAAGCTACAACTGTATGACACATTCTTGTATTTGCACCATCTTTTGGGGGAAAAAAAGGCCAAGTATGCTCCGGTTACCAAGAATTGACACTTTAAATTTTAAACCAGGATTTGATATAAGAGTTTATCTGATTCCAAAGCGAGAAGCTGGATCCATAGAACTGCACCCTCACTGATTTTTTTGATCCTTCCCTAACAAATTCCACATCCTTGGCAATGTCACGCCGAGCACTTTCTGGATCATCAAGCAGAGGCAATGCAGCAGAACCCTGGGATTCCAGATGTCTGATCCACCCACTTAGCAAAAAATTCACCACCTGCACAACAATAACAGTTTAATGTCTTAATACCCACAACAAAAAGTCAGACGGGCGGCACTATCTCTCTCTCTCTCTCTCTCTTGTGGGTTGAAAAGAAAGGGTTTTTTTTTTTTTTTTGGTTGGGGGGGGGGGGAATCTACTGTATCTGCAGATCATTTAAACCCACTTAGAGCCTTAAGCTATGAATAATCAATTCATTAACAAAATTTATACCTTATATCATTGATGTCTCTTAAATTCTAAAAAGATCCTTGTGAAGGGGCTAGAAAAAAGGGGCTGAGCCTTAAACTACGCATAATCAATTTATTAACAAAATTTAAACCTCATATCATCAACATCTCTTATATTCTAGAAAGATCCTGTGTTTAAACCCTAAGCCATAGACTATGTATATAATCAATTTATGAACAAAATTTAAACCTCATATCATCTATGTCTCTTCTATTCTAATAAGATCCTTTGTAAATCCTAGCATTTATCATGTTACCGTAAGGAAATTAATGCATGAATCATTGCAACTATAGGTAATAGAATGAATCATTGCTCCTTTTTCTCTTGATTAGGAGCCATCATCCTTAGAACTTCAGAAAAATTCTTGACAGTAGGTAATTAAGTTCCTTAGAGTGATTGAATATTGATCGAGACAAGGACTAAAAACTCTGCAATTCCTATTACAAGAATATGTAAGAATTATTTTTCTCCACCACATCAAATTTTCTGTTCATTCATAGTGCTTTATGAACTTGTAGCTCTTGTGCTGCAGTGCCCCCACAGCTCTTAAATAAAAAGTTGAATAATCAAAAAATACAAATAAATCCTTCCTTTTCCTTTGAAAAACCATCAAGTCCTATTAAATTTCTATGGAACAACATTAATGTCATGTAAAAACAAATTTTCCATGAAGTTAAAAGGGTTATCAATTTTTTGTAATTTATTACGCGATGTAACTATAACTACTAATTAACATTTTTGTAATAACAACATGATGACTTATTCACCGTTGATGACTATGTACGGCAGTTTATCTAGATACACAAATTTTCCTTTAGTCACCCTTTTTGTACTTGGCAATACTTACACAATTCTTAACCCAATCCAGATGGGGAATCTGCTTAACTCACACATTGCTGGCACCTCTTTTGTTATAGAGTCCGTATGGACTTTAAGTTTTCAACCTTTCCGTGTACCAAAAAAAACAAATCTTGCCCCATTGGATCTTTTTCACCACCATCACAACTCTGCCCACAACTACCACCAACTCCTCCTCCAAATAACCATTGTCTACCACCTCCAAACCACCTGCAAATACCGTTCTCTTTCGTTACACACAAACTCAAACCCACCATTAAAACCAGAGCCCCAAACACCTTAAATCCTCACCACCTCACCCAAACTACCACTTCCACCTCAACAACCAATCCAAAACCAAACACCACCACCGCCAATACCAACCACTACCCACACAAAATTCATTAAACAAATCCATTCAAATCCATAAGGGCAATGTGTGCAGACAGTGTTTAGGGGCAGTGTGGGGATTGGAGTTCGATCAGAGTGACCGAAGGCGAGTGTTCGAGTGTGCATGCATGGACAGACTTTGGAGATGGCATGGGGGGTTAATAGGGGTGAGGAGGGGAAGGTAAACAGGTTTTTTTTTAAGGGGGGGGGGTGTGAAAGTGGAGGGGCAAATGGGATAGGTGAGGGCATATATTTGTTTATTTCTATGCTTTCTTTTTTTCTTCAGGGACCCCGTAGGGAAGGGGGGCTGGTTAAGGGGCGGCTATAAATTATAAGGCACGGATACGGATACGATATGATATGATATAGATACAATGATAGGATAAAATCTAAAAAAATAGGATACGAATATGACTAGGATACGTATATAATAAATTATATTTTATATTTTTACTATTGTCTACCGACTTAATAGTTATATATTTTTATAATTTTTAACATAATAAACAAAAATGAAAATTTTTCTTTAGTTTTAAAAAAATACATATCATATCATTATGGAATATTTACAAAGTGAAGTGACTAATTAAAACAATAAAAACTAATAGTTACTTGGTTGGTTTACTTATAAATGTTTGTTGCTAAGATTATAATTTAAATATTTAATAGATTCATTTTATGATATTTTAACATTAAATAGTAGATAAAACATAAAAAACAGTCATGTATCTTCAAAGTCATATGAATTTTTATTGAAGTATTATACAGTATGTGAATTCAAAAGAAATGTTTAAAGATTAAATTCAAAAATTATACAAATTGCTTCGATACAATATTTTATTATTATCGGATACGTAGGAGGTGTATCCAATATGTATCTCCAAGTATTCGACCAGTATCGTATCCTATATGGGTACATCGACCTCAATGAAATATTTGTGTTTTATGGCCGAGGGATTACGTTACTCGATCCAAGGTACGGTGGTGCTACTTTGTCTGGCAATTGACTTTTGACCAAGCTTAGTCACCAATTTTTACAAATGGAAAATCAGTCATTTCTCAACTAAAATATCTGACAGGATTCCCATGTTATTTGGAAAATGTCAACGAAACGTTGTGTTGATTTGATAACTCAGTGTTCCGATTGTGATTTACCCAAAAGAAAAACAACAAACAATGAAAAGACAAAGCAAGCTTCCTATCACGAAATTTATAAGTTTACATTTTGAGTATATAATTTTTTATTTTTTTTTGAGATTTCTGGAAAAGAACACCCAATATCCTAATTAATCACTTCATCCTTGAAAAAACCTTGAATTACAAACTCCCAATTCTTCTTTTACTCATCCTCGTCAAAATGAAATGCTAACTTAATTTAACAATTTCTTGTGGAGCGAAGTTCTACATAAAACAAGTTCATATTCCACCAAATCAATTTTCTAGAATATCTAATCTTTAAGAAATATAAAGTTAGATGGTAACCATGTTCTCTTAAACTTGTCAGGTATCAGAAAAGACAGGTTTCTACTGCTAGATATGTTACCCATTCGAATGATAAAGGATTTAGCGGGAACTTCACAAGAACTTAGTGATAGGTAAACAACATAAACCATAATTTAAATAGAGAGCAAAACAGACTAAACACTCAGAAATAAAGACCAATTTCATCATCCAGAAACTCAACTAGATTGTCATAGCTTACTTAATAAACAACCATATTGTGATTACTGATGCCTGCTTCCAAAAACATTTACTAGAGATAAGCAATCAAATACACTTGTATATCATCAGTGGTGAGATAAATACCTCAGGAACTTCATCATGAGGGCAGTGACCAGCAGGGCTAATCTCATAATATGGAACTTCAGGAAGCTGTCGTTTCACCTGGAAAGCCCAGATAGGCTTCACCCAAGGGTCTTCTTTTCCATACATTAGGCAGATGGGTACATTGTTCATCTGACACCTATGGACAAAAATGAATTGCAAGTCCTTGGGGTAATAAAAGGTAAACTAGATGTGAATTATCTGAAGCAGTTTGAGCATTTGCTCTTCCTACCTCGATAAAGCCTGCCTGAAGGATAGTTGCCCTTGAGGAGCAAACATGATTGAGGTAAATGCCGCAGCAGCTGCTGGATGTTGTGTTGTCTCAAGTATTCGAGAAAACACTTTATCAACATTTGTCGAGTGATCTACATAGACTTGCTTCAGTATCTCTCCAATACTCCTAGGATCACTTATTTTCTGCCATCTAAAAAAAGAAGGAAAAACATTAATCCAGCTCAGAATGGCTTAAGCCTAAATAGAAGTCATCCAGAAGGCAAGACAAAATAGCATCTATCCTAGGGTACTAAACCAGAATAAGAACCAAATATTCTCGCATTTCCTATGACAGTCACAGTTTCAACAGATAAAATAATTTTAGACCTATGTTTCTCAAGAGAAAAATGAATAAATAACAAGGTTGTTCTTAGCAAAATCCATAAATCTTCAAATGTACTAAAAGCTAGATGATCTCTCCTTTTTAAGATACATATTTACAAATGGGAATCACATCTAAGAAGAGGACATCCTAAGACTAATCAATGGATAAAATGTTATGACTTACGCGATTTCTGTGAACTTTCTTACAGTGGCAGGAAGAGGAAACGTTCCAGCCCATGGAAATATTCTTGACAGTCTTGGAGACGTTATGGGATTCGGGAGCAAACCCCAAAATGGTGTTGCATTGAGCAATGTCACACCCTTCACCAATTGAGGGTTTCTTGCTGCAAAGTAGAGGGCAACATATCCTCCCAGGGAGTTCCCCACAACATAAACTGGTTCTCTAATGACCTGTAACAGAATTAATTGCTGAAATTATTGGTTTGTGTACCAATTCGGTGAAATTCTTGTTCCTGAATTATGGAAAGTTGTTTTTTCATCATAAGAGCTTCATCAGATTAAAAAAAAAACAACAAACTATTCTCCCACGGCCATATTTCCTTTACAATCATGATAAGGTGATTGCAACAACATTGGCCATAGCAAGATAGATCCAAAGATAAAAAAAAAAAAATCACATGTCCCTTACTATTTTAAATGGAAATCAAAGCAACAAACCCAACTGTGCTAACGTGGATGTTAACTAACGTGGGATGCACAGGGCCACCCATCAGCAGGTAGTAGCCCATTAAGGAAGAGCAAGAAAAATTGAAGTCTCAATACAAAATCATATTGTAGCACATGCGTGCTTAGATTTTCTCGTGGGAGAGAGTTCTATATCCTAAAATGTATACTTGCAAATTGCAATACAACACATAAGAACAAATTTCGCACTCAAGTAACAAATTATAAAATAACATCTCAACAACTACATTAGTCCTCCACTAGAAATAATGATGGCAAAGACTTCATACTTCAATTAGATAGTGTCCTCTCTATTCCGACATCATATTGTTAGAGTATTCATAATAAGGGTAGTTTAGGCATTTTCTTTATGTTGTGTTTTCCTACTATATAAGAGTTACTTTGTGTATTTCTAGGTTAAGCTGTGTATTACAGACTTCTTAATGAATAATATATTCTCTCTTTATCTTTCTCTTTCTCTTCTCTATTCTCATTGATCAATTCTATTATGGTATCAAAGCATGGTTTAACCTTAGCATTCTTAAAATTTTTTTAAGAACATAGTACATGCTTCATCCTCTTCTGAACTAGGGCTGACGTCATCAAGCTAGGGTTGACGTCATCAATCTGTCATTGCTGACGTCATCAAACTAGAGCGAGGAGAGTACTATAGTACTCGATTCTTCATGGGCTTTCCAATGGTATGCTTTGTTTTTGATTTGAAGGTCATTGGATAGGGTTTTCTAATTTTTGAATGATTTTTCAAAAATCTCGGCCCTATTTTTCGATCTGTGAATTGGGGTTGTCTTTCTTGAATTACTTGCTTCCAATCGAGTCTAAAGAGTGCGTTTAAGAATATAGGTTGGTTGTTTGTGTGATTTAAAGGTCTTTGGTTTGATTTTGGGTGTCTATTTGTTGCTTGGGACTGTCGGGCTACTGTTCACAGTAAGAACAGAAGCCGAAAGTCTTTGTGGGTTGCTTTGATCTTCAAATCTTCAGCTATGGGTGGTTTTCTTGTTGTGGCTTCAGCAATTCTGGACTGGTTGGCTTGTTTCGACAGCTGTGGATGAGTTGGGTTTTTTGTTTGCTTCGGCAGTTGATTATTTGCTCTGTTGGATGTTTTGCTCTGCTGGGTTTTTGGCTTATTTGGTGTTATTGCTTCTTTGGGTTGCTGAGTTTGAATTTGACTGTGGTGCCGATTGATAATTGTTACTACAATGGCAAGTGGTCACTCTGATTCACTTCAAGTCATTAGTGTGAGATTAATTGGTAAAAATTATGTTTATTGGGCTTATGTTTTGAAAAAAAATTTATTGGGGAAAGACATGTGGAATTATATTAGTAGTGTTGTACAGCCTCCAATTGATACTAAAACAGAAAATTATGCTAATTTGAAGAATACTTGGGATATTAACAATGCGAAAATTATTACCTAGATTAATAACTCAGTTGATTAGACCATTGGGGTTCATCTATCCAAGTTTACCACTGCTAAGGAAATTTGGGATTATTTGGCCACACTTTTTGTTCAGTCTAATTTTGCAAAGAGGTATCAGCTAGAGCATGAGATTCGAGATGCGCGTCAAGGGGATAAAACCATTCAAGAATTCTATTCTGTTATGACTGGTTTCAAGGCTGGTGCAATTCTTGATGGCCCTTTAGGGATGACTTCGAGGGACTTCGTGATTCCATTCTTCATCGTCACCCACTCCCCTCAGTGGATGCAGTTGTTAATGAGCTCTTAGCTGAAAAGGTTCACCTTAAAACCCTTTTTGGAAAGGGTCTTCTTCCACTACCAAATCAGACTGTCTTGGCTGTTCCTTCCAAAGTGGCTTCTAATTTCCAAAATAAATTTCGAGGTCGAGTTGCTTTTGATGAGTGTAGCTTCTGTCGTGAAAAGGGCCACTGGAAGGCCCAATGTCCAAAGTTGATGAACAAGAATGCACGAGGATCTTAAAATCAGTCATTTAAGTCCAGAGAACGTCATACAGCGGCCGTAGCACCACCAGTGGATGAGTCAGCTTCATTAGCTCCCAATCTGACTATGCTTGCAGATCAGCTACAGAAGTTTTTCTCTCTTCATCAGCCTAGTGCTCTCACCGTTTCTTCCACTATAGGTTCGTTCAGCTCAGGTCCTTCAGGTATATCATGAACTGCCTGGGTCTTTGACTCAGGTGCCACACATCATATGACTAGTGACTCCTCTTTGTTTGCATCTATTGTTTCTCCTCCCTCTTTATCTATCCTTGCTGCCAATGGTTTTCACATGTCATTAGCTGGTGTTGGGACCATTATTTCTTCCAACCTTATATTTTCAGATATCTATTATATTCCTCAACTTACTTTGAATTTACTTTCAGTCAATCAACTATTTGATTTTGAAATTGTGGTTCATTTCTCTTTCTCTGGTTGTGTTGTGCAGGATCCATGGTCCAAGAACCTGATTGGGACTGGCCGTAGACAGGACGGGTTATATGTGTTGGAGGAGCTGCATGTCCCAGTTGCTGATGCTGCTTCTACTGTTGATTTATCTTCTTTTCGTTTGAGTCCAGAGTCATCTAGTTTTTATTTATGGCATTCTCGTCTTGGTCATGTTTCTTATTCTCATTTAAAATTTTTAGCCTCGACTGGTAGTTTGGGTAGTTTAGGAAGCTATGATATTTCTGATTGTAGTGGATGCAAGTTGGCTAAATTTAATGTATTGCCATTCAATAAAAGTGTTACTTGTTCTCTTGCACCATTTGATCTTGTTCACTCTGATATATGGGGACCGGCTTCTATTCCTACACAAGAAGGATCCAAATATTATGTTTCATTTATTGATGATTACACGAGGTATTATTGGGTATTCTTGATGAAACGTCGGTCTGAATTCTTTTCTATCTTCACTATCTTTCGTAACATGGTACGCACTCAATATTCTGCAGTCATTAAATATTTTCGATGTGATCAGGGCGGTGAATATACTTTTACTTCTTTTCATGATATGTTGAAATATGATGGTACACTTTATCAATCTTCTTGCACTGACACACCTGAGCAGAATGGTGTTGCCGAACAAAAGCACTGTCATATTCTAAAGACAGCACGTTCCCTTCTTTTATCAGCAAATGTTCCCAGTTCATTTTGGGGGGAAGCAGTTTTGACAGCAGTTCATTTGATCAACATCATTCCTACTATGCTCACCTCTGGAGTCTCTCCATTTGAAAAGTTATGTGGTAAACCACCTAACTATTTTTCTTTACATGTGTTTGGTTGTACCTGTTTTGTTTTGTTCCCTAGTGTTCTTCGTATCAAACTTTCTGCCCGTTCAGCTTTATGTGTATTTCTTGGTTATGGTGAGGGTCACAAAGGGTATCGTTGCTATGGTCCCATCACTCGCAAACTTTATGTCTCTCGCCATGTCGTTTTTATGAAGTATATTCCCTTCTTTTCAATTCCATCTAGCTCTTCCTCATTGAATAAGTCTAATCTGCTATACATTGATCCCTTTCCTATCAATGTTCCTCATGATACATATGTTGGTGATATACCTGTGTCAAATCCTTCATCAGCTGAGTTGACTGTTACTCGTCCCCCTATTGTGTGTACATATGTTCGCAGGACTCCAATTATCTCCTCTCCGGATGTAGTGCCTCCCATTTCTTCTCCGGCCGCCCAATTAGGTTCAGACACTGTGGATCATATCCCACGCTATCCTCAGCGCTCTCGCAAATGTCCAGATAGGTTTGGTTGGAGTAATACTTGTTATTCTTATGACTTTTATTATTTCCTTACTTCTATTCATTCTTTATCTGAACCCTCCTCCTACAAGGAGGCATTACTTGATCCATTTTGAAAATAGGCTATAGATGAGGAGTTGTCTACCTTACATAAGACCAAAGCCTGGGAGTTAGTGTCTTTACCGCCCGGTAAACGCACCATTGGTTGTAAGTGGGTTTATAAGATAAAAACTAAGTCGAATGATTCTGTGGAACGATATAAAGCTCAATTAGTAGCCAAGGGGTTTGCTCAGGAATATGGTCTAGATTATGATGAGACTTTTGCTCCTGTTGCCAAGATGACTACTGTTCGCACCGTGATTGCAGTTGTTGCCATTCGACAATGAAGTTTGTCTCAAATGGATGTGAAAAATGCATTTTTACATGGAGATTTGACTGAAAAGGTTTTTATGACACCTTCCCCTGGATCATCTTATAGTTCTGGTCAACTATCTCGACTTCATCGTGCCTTATATGGTCTTAAACAGGCTCCTAGAGCATGGTTTGCCAAAAAAATTTCGGTTATCTATGACTTGAATTTTCGTGCTAGTGACTATGATTCTGCTCTTTTTTTACGGTCTACTTCCTCAGGTTTTATTATTCTCTTATTATATGTTGATGATATGATTATTACGGATGATGACACTGCTAGCATATGCTTATTGAAAACCCAGTTGCAGGACCATTTTGAGATAAAAGAATTGGGACAGCTTAGATATTTCTTGGGTATTGAGATTGCTTCCTCACCTAAAGGATATCTTCTTTCTCAGTCCAAATATACTTCAGATGTTATTGAACGAGCTCGTTTATCAGATAATCGGACAGTTGAGACACCTTTAGAGCTCAATATTCGTTACTCTTCATCTGACGGTACTCCCTCATCTGACCCGACCCTCTATCAGACTATTGTTGGGAGTTTAGTATATCTTACTGTCACTTGTCCAGATATCTCTTATGCTATTCACATTGTGAGTCAATTTGTTGCCTCACCTACCACCGTTCACTGGTCTGCTGTTCTTCGCATTCTTCGGTATCTCCATGGTACTCTACATCAGAGTTTACTCTTTCCTCACTCTTCTTCTATGGAACTCAGGGTTTACTCTGATGCTGACTGGGCTGGTGACTCTATGGATCGCAAATCCACTACTAGTTTCTGCCTGTTTCTTGGGGATTCTCTTATTTCTTGAAAAAGCAAGAAACAAACTGTTGTTACTCGTGCTTCTGTTGAAGCTAAGTATCGTGTCATGGCATCTACTACAGCTGAGATAGTCTGGTTACGATGGTTCCTTGCTGATCTTGGCATTTCGGTATCATCTCCTACTCCTATGTTCTGCGACAACACCAATGCTATTCAGATTGCTCATAACTCGGTCTTCCATGAGCGCACAAAACACATTGAGATTGATTGTCACTTTGTGCGTCATCATGTGTAGCAGGGCACCATCACTCTCCCCTTTCTTCCTTCCACAATGTAGATAGCGGATTTTTTTACGAAGTCTCATACCATAGCACGTTTTAGATTTTTTCTTGGCAAACTCTTGATGTTTTCTACCACATCATAAGTTTGAGCGGGGGTGTTAAAGTATTCATAATAAGGGTAGTTTAGGCATTTTCGTTATGTTGTGTTGTCCTACTATATAAGGGTTACTTTGTGTATTTCTAGGTTAAGCTGTGTATTATAAACTTCTTAATGAATAATATATTCTCTCTTTTTCTTTCTCTTCTCTATTCTCATTGATCAATTCTATCACATATTAGTAGGGGTGTAACTTGGGCGGATTGGGCGGGTTGAGAGGTCAACCCTAGTCTAACCCTAGGTATATAAGCTTCAACTCTAACTCTACCTCAACCCAAGATACTCAACCCGAGTACTATCTGAGTTTAATTCGAGCCGGCTCGGGTTAAATTCGGGTTACTTAATTCGGAGTGATTTCGAGTTAAAAATCGGGTTGAACTTGGGTCACTTAATTCGGATTGATTTTTTGAAGTGTAGATTTGATTTTTTTAAGTATATATCTAATTTTTTCAAGTGATCTGAGATGAAGGGCGAGGCGTAAATGAAGAAAGAGGGAGTGAGAGAAGGAGGAGTGACGAGTGAGAGAGGGATCTGAAAGTGATAGAAGCACAAGGGTGAATACTTGAAGTGAAGTGAAAGTCTGGACTCTAAAAAATGAAAATAAATACTAACCCTAGTTAAATATATTTATATATTTATGTATATTTGGGTTTAACCCGATTTTAATATTCGGGTTGACCCGATAACCCAAGGCCTCAACTTGAGGCTTGCCCAAATTCAATTCGGGTTGAATTTTTTTTACCCAAGTCCAAATCAAGTATTAAAAATTCTAACCCAAGCCCTGTTTTTTTGCGAATTAAGCTCGGGTTGGCTTGTCCAAGTTGCACCTCTACATATTAGGTACTATAGATGTAGATTCATATCTTCTATAAATTGAGCGGAAACTTGTGCACAATTAGCAGTGCATTGTAGAAGACAGTTCCTTGTAAACAATAGTCAGATGTACTAGTGGCGGAGGTAAAAGCAACAAGGTTGAGTAAACAACAAAAATGGCTGTTGTGGTGGGATATATGAAGGTGTTTTCTTCAATGAGGCGATGAGGGAAGCAGTGATAGTAGTGCTTGGAAAACTGCTGCTTGTGGTAGGACACTGGTTTTTGAGCATAAGAATCGCTGATACAGTGGTGGTTGTGCTTCTGACACTGATAGCAATGGTGTAGGGCAGCAGATCAGTCACAACGACAAAGCCAGGGGTGCAGTAGGAATGGGTTGATGCTATTCTGCTGGTGCTACAAATAGTGATGCTCGTGCAGCAGTAGGGTTGCTATTTGCTAATTCAGATGGCTATATTTGTGGTGATTTAAGTAGGTAGTGCAACTCTGCGACAGTCGATGTTTCCGTATAGTTGATTTCTCAAGGTCCCAGGGACTGACAACAGAACAACTTATAAAATTAAAAGATAATTAAGCAAAGACACTATCTTCAAGAAAAAACAAAATTAGCATCAATTAAAAAACTATGTAGACTGTCATAATTATCTGATACTGCATTTAACATGCAAAACTACAAGATCATCCATAACAATGCTCTGCATCGGTAGCAACATAAAGCTGAAAAATAACCAACCGACTAGCTAACAACATGAAACACAAACCTTCACACCGGGCATCCTTCATCTTCCATATTATTTTCACTACTCTAATGCTCTCATATTACATGCTAATAATGGTATCTCTACCTTCCAAGTATGCTATTGACATGCAGGACAGGGGAACACATATAGATGACAGCATTCTTCATTGAAACAAGTAAAATACCAGGAGAAGTGCAAAGTCAGGATGGATTTCAACTATGTAATGAGTATGCATCCAGGAGTCAAAGGGAGAAAAAGATATGGCCTCATCAAAAAGAAAAGGAAAATGGCATAAATAAAGAAATGAAATAGGCAGAATTTTCTGGGAGTTGATTGGCAACAAGTTCAAACACATGTACAAAATGAAAGCATGTACTATACTGAAATAAATCAACAAACTTATCTTTTTCACAAGTTTAATATCACTAACAGGTGCTATGTAGTACAGGTCCGTTAGGAAGAAAAATATGAGAAATCATAATGGCATATAGAACCCTGCTCAAAAGGAAAAGGAAATGAGGACATATGAAAACCAGATTGTTCTTATTGTACAGGTCTGTTAGAGGAAGAAATAAATTAGAAATCATTGTAGCATATAGAACCCTGCTCAAAAGAAAAAGAAAAAGAGGAAACATATGAGAACTAGATTGTTATTATCCATATTTGAGGGGGAAAGAAAAAAGATGAAAAGGACAGACATAAAGGGCATGGTATTAGGCCAAGTAAAGAACAACTCTACACCAGAATGTGTACTTTCTTTCAAATAAATTTACAGCAATCAGAGAATGCAATATAGAAAACATATAAAGTTGTTATGTACCTCTTCTATGAAGTATTGAACTTGGTCCTGCCATAAATCAATAGAATAAACAAGCTCTTTTGCCCAAGGTTCAGTTTCATCTCCAAAACCCCAAACATAATTCTCCCCACCTGCTTTATCTCTATCTGTAGCCTGAGGAGTAGGATCTTCACATGGCAATGACATGCCCTGCCCAAGAAAATCCAATGCCCATGCTCTAGAATCACGCCCCAGATCCTTCAATTGCTTCTCATAATGGAAGGAACCAACACCAAAACCAGGAAGAAAGAGCACCGCGGGGGAACTAATATTTTCAGACCCTGATTTTTCATAATGCACATTTAGTTTGGGTTTCCATTCCCAGAAACAACTTCTAATCGGAGCACCAGAATCACCATCAGATTCACCCTGCAAACTGGGAATCAAGACCTTGGGTACCGAGTCCCCACTTTCAGTCACAATTCCTCCACCCTCAGCCCCATCAATTACATAGGAATTATAACTTTCACTCGACCCTTTAAGAGCATTGGATGATTTAAAACCTTGATTTTGGTCAAAACCCTTCGAGCTATTGGAATCTAGATGAGGATATTTCAAAAACTCCCATTCAGATTTAACTGCAATCCGCACAAATTTTTGTTTTCTCACTGCAGAAAGTTTTGATGGATTTGAGCTGAGGCTTTTATCAACTAATTTCGCTCTCAAGTTTACAACACAACACCACGATGCCGAGTGGCAAGAGAGAATTCCCATACTCCAGAAGCCTAGTTTCTGAAAAATGGAATAAAAATGAATAATTTTTCAGGAAAAATTATAGCACTGCCTAATTTAATTACTAAATAAAGAAGTTATGAAATCACATCACTCTTAAGTACATGATCAGTGCTCCTTTAATCTTCAAAAAGTGCAAAGGAAAAAATTCCCCAGTAACCCCAGTTTCGTTCTTTGTCCAGTTTTGAAGTACAAACAAATTAGGCATGAAACAAGAATGGAATTCCATTGAGTCGACATCTATCTTTTTTCAAGCAATCTACCTCTTGATATCACGGATCAATATAACTCTACTGGTTCACTACAATAGGAACTGGTTTGATTTTTGTTTCAAAACCATTACGAAACCAATAACTAAAACTGTTTCACAATAACCTAACACACGCAAAACAAAAACTCACTCAAACAAAACTCACCAAAAACAGTTCTAAGCAGCTTATGACCCAAGATTAGTAAAAATTACAGGGAATAATGATTTGTCAATTGTTTATAATCAGTAGAGTAACAAAGAGAGAGGCAGAAAAGAGGATTTTAGTGTTTATTACCTCTAGCTAGCAGATCCAAAGGGCATTAGACTCCAAGATTTGAGGGAAATCTAGATATTTTCACGAGAATCTAGAGAGAGAGAGGAGTGATTCTTAGTTGCTTGAAAGTTGGATGCTTGGGATTGGCTTTAAAAGCCAAGAAAACTAACGAACTTATGAAAAATGCCATTTTTTTTTTCTTCTTGGTTTGGTTTGAAGGTGGAAAAGACGTACACACCAAGATTTGATTCCGACAGGTGAAAGAAGGAAGGAAGCTGGTCTGGACACTTGTCAGCTCTCAAGTCACGGGAGGGACCACTGCAGTGCAGAAGTAGTGCAACCAGCACCAGAATTTTTTATTTTTTTTTTCTTTTGACTTATTTAAAATCCCTAATCTATACTAACAACATAGAACATAATTTGAATCTATTTTTACTTCAAAATTTAATCTAATTTTAATTCATTTGAAAAAGTATAAGAACGGCTCATATTTAATCTATTTTTAATTTAATTGCTTAGATTTCATCTCCATTATCCCAAGTTAATCCAAAGACTGACAATACATTCCCACAAAAAACTTATCCCGCCCAAACCTTTTACACAGTGCCCAACTCAATTGTCAGACACAATTCCCAAGAACCCAACGTCTCTCTTCTTCTTCTCTCTGTCGATCTCCTCCTTTGGGACCTCTCTCTTCCCTTTCAACCTTCACCGGCCACCCCCACCAATCCAGGTAAGCTCTCCTCTCTCTCTCCCCTCTCTTTCTCACCTCCAAGAGAACACGAGAGAAGTCATCGCCCAGAATGAAGTAGACGAAGAGATGGACAGAGAATGGGGTTCGAAGCCCAGTAGCGAAGACGCCGCCTCCGCCCAGAATGAAGCCATCGACCGCCGTGAACAGTTGCGGAGACTCGCCCTTGAAACCATCTATCTCGCCAAAGATCCCTATTTCATGCGCAATCATCTCGGCAGATCCAATTACCTCTCTCTCTATCTCTCTCTCTCTCTCTCTCTCTCTCTATATATATATATATATATATATATATTTGTGTGTGTGTGTGTGTTTAAATGATTAGTTGAAATTGATGTTGTTGTGAAAATTAGGATTTTGAAGTTATGAGTGCAAGCTCTATTTGACACTGCACGACAATGAGAGGAATTACTTGGCCTATACACAGGGGAAGCGGCACCAGACGAACTTGGCCAAGGGAGCTGCTCGCGAGGCCAAGGTAACTCCAGCTCAGCCTCAGCCTCACAAGCAGAAAGTCACTCTTCGAAAATCAGGTAAAATAATTGGGTTCCAACAATAATAGAAATGACTTATTATGTTGTTATTGTTCAATTGTATACCTAATTTATGGTTCAAATATGTTGCTCACTTTCTAATTTGCATGTCATAAATTTTATTTTCTGGTGGCTTGCAGTGAAAATTGGTAGGTCTGATGGCTTGATGGAATAAAATCAATTAAAAAAAAGTCGTTCATATTTTTTTGTTGATTGAGTTTATTTGATTGTTTGGGTTAGTAATCTATTGCTCTTCTTTTGGATCCAATTTTAAGGATCCCGAATGCCAACCCCCATATTGCAAATACTAAACAATTTGAGAATGGTGGCGTATGTCACTTCGACAATGCTTCTCGACAAAGCAGTGACAAAAATTCTACAGGTCAATTTACAAGATACATAGTGGAAATAGTAGCTTCCAAGACTAAGAATCCCACCTATGATGATCCAAAAACTCCACACACAGTGTGTTATATAGTGTCTTCATGGTTATATTTTTGCATCTCTATGTGTTTTGTGTCTCTAAACAACAATCTCAAAAGTAAATAATAGTGTTTTGTATTATAGATGTTGTGATCTTTGCCTGTGATTGTATTGCAATCCCACGGTCCCCAGCCTTAGTTCATTATCCCTAGCCTTAGTTCACCATCCCTTCAAAGCTTCTTCATAAGTGCAACCTTTTTCACACTAGGTATGTGAAAAGGGAATTTTCAGTTGGTAGTTTAATTTTGGATAGTTGCATCATATGAGTCCTATTTTTTTTTTAAAATCCAGCTCATTGCTTTTTCATCATACGACTACTTTGTTATGTTTTTTCACTTTGTCTTTCTCTAATTTTTTTAATTAATTACTTAAATATTGTTAACTAGGTATCTTTTGCTTAATGGCTATCTTTGTTGGTTCATCACAATCTTTATTTTTTAAATAATAGGATCAAAATGATGGATGTTGTTGCTATTAGATTAAGTGTTCATTTTAAAAGGTGATTCTCACTTTTATTATAAGTGATTCTTCCTTGATTTTGTATTGAGTGATAAAAGTGTCATGTTTGACAAGAGGTTGTGGATTTAACTTCATTGAAATTCTTTTATTGCAGAAGTAAAAAATTCAAGGAGTTAACATAATAACATGCTTTGAAAAATCAATTTAGTAGAACCGCCTAACTAGAATTCTATTTCTATGTTACACGATTGCAATTGTCTTGATTAATAAGTTGCGCTAACAACCATCTCAACGTATATTTTTCACTTCATCTGCATAGTAGTTGGATATCAAGAACTCATCCACTATTTTTTTTTTTAGAAATGATATTTGTATTCATGTTGAAGTTGCTTTCTTTTATTTATTTCTTTTACTTTATATTTCTTTCTTTTATTCTCTTGCTTTCGCAGATTGATCAACATTGATGCAAAATAAACGGATGGTTAAACTGTAATTTTTTTTTTATTTTTTATAACCAAGGGATTATAAAATAAGAAATGTGTGTGGTTTCATGTGGGTTTATGTGTTGTCCAAGGAAAAAAGTTTGTTGTTTGGTCATTAATTGCATGAATATTAGTGGGTCTATGTTGTGGTAGTTAGTAAATCTTTTTATTAAGGCAGGATTATGGTTGGTGAGTGCGATGACTTTGGGGTTTTGTCAAAAATTGGTGGACCCCAATTAATTTCAACAAGATTGAAAATCAACCAGTGCTCGAGTTTCAACTTTGTTTAGTGAATTTTAAGTTTTTAATTGATGATTATTTGGCTTATGCAGGGTGAATGAATGTACTTAGTTATTCATATTAGCTTAAGTTTAGTGTTAATTTAGTTTACATTTGTATCTTATTCATTTTGGTATTAGATATTTGGGTCATTATATTGCAGCACTTGATAAATAGTGGTAACAACAATATGTGATGTGATGAGATTTTTTATGCAAGATAGTTTTTATTTACGTATAGGTTTGATTATGAATTGTACACAGGTTGATATTGTGTACTGGATCATGTTTTTAAAGAGAACTTTGTCGATTTTTTTTTAAATAACAGATTTTTTATATTAACTATTGAAATTTTGTTTGTTACGCTAACTATTTTGATATGAGATTCATATGTGAGGTTATAATTACATGCAATATGTTATTGGTAGTAGTGTTACTAAACAGGTGATTGAATATTTAAATAGTAGATCATGGTGTAATGAAAGATATATGACCTCTAGGTTTACTGAATGCAAAGGTTAGCAAATTGGAAGCAACCCCAAAGAAAGAATGAACATTAAAAGCAGTTCTGTGTGTAGAAATTGTGAAGGTAAAACCCTAATTTTTGTTCTTTGTCTATCCAATTTTGTGGATGAATCAGCTTTGTGGTTCTTTTAATAGGATTTAATTATTGAAATGAGCACTTGGAAGTTGATAAGTTTTATATGCATAGCCATGTCGATTTTATCAGTGTTTGTTCAGTTTTCAATCTTTTTATGTTTATTTTGCCTTTTTCTTTTGTTTGGGAGTAATTGAGGACCAAAACTTTAACTTTTTTTGGAGATTTGTGCTCTTATTAAGCTGATTCTTGATATTTATTGGAATAATAAGTTTTTATGACTCATGTCAGAGCCATGGCTCCATGTCATTATGCTTTCTTCCCATGTGTTTAGTCTGTCTGTGTACAAAGTCATTAGAACTTGAAGCAATAGGAACTAATAACTTTCTGTCCTTTTGCTACATGTTTCTAATTGGACTTTTAAATACTTTGTTACTGTTTTTGGTACTTCTCTACACATTTAAGTAACAGACCATGTTGTTTGAGGTCATTAGTCTAACATTCTTATCTAACAGTAGTTTTAAGCCATTGCAGACTGAACTGAAATCTGGGGACCAAAATGGCTGTAAAACCCGATAAAAAAAATATATATTATTATTATTATTATTATTAAAATCCTAATAAAAAGGATAAAATAATAATCAATTGCTAAATTATGGGTCAAAAACATAAATTTCAAAAAAATAATATATATATATATATATATAAGTGGAAGACTTTGTCTTCCACTTTTTATATCTTCTACAGCCGGCGAGGTAGTGAGAGTGAGAAAAAAAAATGAGTTTTTATTTTTTTTTTCTCTTTTCTTCCTTCTCAGATCTAGGAAAATTTAACCGTTTAATCGTTTCGGGCTAAGAACTAAAGTTGCTCTACT